CCTGGCAGCCTCGCCGGCCGGTCGATGTCCAAATTCTAACTGAATATCTATTCCCCCGGTCATGGTCCCTACCTTCTACTCAATGATACTATCTCACTGTTTCCTTGCCGTTTGCTTGACATCCAGATACTTTGCCTATTGCCTACTTTACTACCACAAACTACAATATATCATATGCCTCATGCTTGGCCTCAAATTATGCGCCCATTGGCACCCCAGCTTTTTCATTACAGCTTTGTCTCGCTTCCCACCCTCCCCCTCCCTCACATACTTGTACCCCCACCCCAACTTTCTTCCTTTCCTATCCTCATCCCTCTCTTTGTGTACCTACCCTGCAACTTTATTTTATCCTATCCTCGCCCATTCCCACTAACTTCCAAACCTCTACATGACACATCAGTCTCCGCTTGACATGTTCGTCGCAGCAACAAGGGCCCAAACGAGACTCGGCCCAACTGGGGGTCCGGTACCAGCAGCTGTGGATACGAGTTCCATCTCTTCCAAAAGTGATCCTTTCCTTCTCCTGCTCCATCACACCGACGGAAGTCTGCCTGAATTGCCACTCGAATATTTTCCATCGTGTGTCCCTGATATGACTGCAGGGTGGGGGCCGTGCCCTGTCTGCATCCCTCGTTTCTCAGGGTCCAGATGGTCCATATTAGTGCTGCTCTCACAATTTCCATTGCCAGCTGATTCTTCAGCTTCAATCTATTGGCCTTCATCAGGGTTCCCAGGAGAATGAGCGCCTCATCTGTTTCTGCTACTTCCAACGGGGTGTGCTCTGCTATTTGCGCCCACCACGTCCAGAAGTCCCGGATTACCGGCCATTGCACGAACAGGTGGGGTATAGTCTCCACCTCTCCACATCCTGCCGCACATTGTTGCTCCTTATGGCAGCTTCTGAGAGCCAGCCATTGCGCTGTCGGAATGGCCAATGATAGACTTGCCATAGCAAGCCAGCCTGTTTCTGATCCCGCAGCACCGCCATAAGAGCACATTGCACGTTCCAGTCAATCTTTCATAATAAACGTCTGGAAGCCAGTCTCTCTTGGCGCAGCGACTCTCGAGTTCCCCACAGATGTTGTGTGTCTCTAGCAGGGAGTTATAGATGTTCTCGTTTGTCAGCTGCTGCAGCGGGGTTATTCTCTTATGCATCAGACCACTCCCAGTCCCACGGGTCCCAACTTAAGTTTTGCTGCAGCTGTGCCACCCTACATGGGCAGAATTGGCCTTGTTCCTTCGTCCCTCCCTCGCATACCATGACAGTCTCAGCACCACTACTCAATATTCGTCTTTGTGCGGCCGGGGACAATCTCAGGGATCTGCCCATCCCTTCATATCCCAAGTCAGATTCAGCATACAACGCAGTGACTTCCAACCACTCTTCCTGGGGGGGCTGTTCCACTCTATAGACCATGTCTGGCCTGGTGACTCCTTTAATTCGCACCCATTCTCCTTGTGCCACCTTGTCCTTCTTTAACAGATCTATCCATTGCGAGGGGATAGCCTCTCTCAGTCTCACCCGTTTCATTCCCCATGCTTTCCCGGTGAGCATTGTCATCGCTATCTGTGCGCCAGCCTTTGCGGTCCTCGTCCCATAATTGTCCCACTTTGAATACACCCCGCTCTGCCCACTTCCATCCGAATGCTCCCCGCCGACCCCGCCATGGGAAGAGGTTGCCTTCTTCATCGCATATGAATCTGTTGTCAAACAACAGCTGGTTGAAAACTGTGTCCGTATCCGGCATCTCAGCTGCACCTTCTTCCACAAAGTCAATTTGGTGGATCACACAGTGCCTCTGCCAATATGACCTATCAGAAAGCTACTCAGCAGGAATATTTCCACCATCTCCTCAGGGACCTGCAGTGCATATGCCAAGTGGGATCGTGTAACTTCTTGCCATGTGTCCTCCATCGTCCCCAGCAGGACCCAGATTAATTGGCGAATTTGGAGGGCTATGATCTGGAACCTCGGATCCTGTAGTCCTAAACCCCGAACCGTCTTGGTTGAATCAGGTGGTCTCATGCCACTCTGCAGATTGAATCTTCAGCAGCCACATTGTTCGATCATAAGTGGGCATGAATCACATGTTTGATATACCGGAAGGTTCGTTTACCTGGCATGTACACTGCCCCCGCGTACCACAGTGTTGCCAACACCGAGTTTGTCACTAACAGGGCTTTACCGAACACCCCCATGCTACCTTTTGCACTCCAGGCCCTGAGCCTAGCCACCGCTGCGATTGCATGTATCGCCATCTGTTCCACCCCTCCGTAGCTTGGGGTCAGGTTTGCTCCTAAGAAGGCCATTCTTTCCCCATTCTCTATTGTCGTGATGTCCCATCTCTCCGGGCAGGTCCACCCCCAGGGGCATCACTGCTTTAGATTTCTGCCAGTTGATTCGTGCCCCAGAGTACTTGCAGAACACACCCAGATCCTCTTTAAGCAGTCCCAGCTGTTGAACCGTCGGCATAATGACTGCACCCGTCTCATCCGCGAAGGCTGTCGTCTGCAGCGTCTTTGATTGTGTCTTCAGGCCCTCTAACCTATCATCAGCTCTTAATATTTCATGCAGCGATTCAATATAGATGACATAGAGGGCGGGGGACAGTGGGCAGTGTTGCCTAACTAACCTTGTGACCCTCAAACAGTCTGATCTTACTCACGTTCACCTGCATGACAGTATTTGCTCCCCTGAGCAGCCTACGGACCCAACTGCAGAAGATTCCACCTACACCACGACGCGCCATGCTCTGCAGCATGAACTCCCAGCGTACTCGATCGTACACCTTCACCAAGTCTATGGATATAAATGCTCTCGCTCGCACTGGTCCTCCTCTAGCACCTGCTGGGCCATCAGGACGTTTGTGAGACTTTGGCGCCCTGCCACGAAGCCCGTCTGTGTATGATCGATGATGTGCAGTAGGGCGTCGCTAAGGCGGTTCGCCAATACTTTAGCCAATATCTTATATACTGCGTTCAAAATGGATATTGGCCGCCATTCCCGCACATCCTCCTTCGGCCCCTTCTTGCAGAGCAAGACCACATAGGCGTCAGCGAATCCCGGCAGGAATGTTCCGACTCTGAGAGCTTCGTTATAGGCCGCTGTGAGCAAGGTAACAAAGTTACGAAAATCCTTGAATAGTTCCACCGGGATCCCGTCCAAACCTGGTGCATTTCAATCGCGGCAGGGCAGTGATTGACCTTTAAACCTCCTCTGTCGTCACATCTGCTTCCATCCTGCATGTGCTGTCGAGGCTGAGGCGACTCTGGATATGCTTCCATACTTCCTGCTCTGGCTCCGCTGCCCTAGCTGCAGACGTCCATGCCTCCTCTTCCATGAGCAGCTGCTGTTAGAACTCTTTTATG